AGGTGAGAGGATTGCCTGAGCTCTGGGGTTTGAGAACAGCCTAGGCAACTTGTCAAGACCTCATCTCTACAATAAACAAAAAAATTGGCCTGGTTTGGTGGCATGCACCTGTGGTTCCAGCTACTTGGAAGGCTGAGGTGGAAGGATCGCCTGAACCCAGCAGGTCATGGCTGCAGTGGTCGTGAGCGTGCCACTGCATTCCAGCTTGGGCCACAGAGTGAGACTCTGACTCAAAAATAAATAAATAAAAAGAATAAGCTTTAAATAATACTCATTTTAGCCTTTGTGTTAACAATGAGTAGTAAATTTTTACTTTCAAATGTTTTATTGATATGTAATTATTATACATATTTAGGAGTACAGAGTGTTATTTTGGTACATATATACAATGTGTAATGATCAAATCAGGGTAATTCACATTCTTTTACCTCCAACATCATTTCTTTGTGTTGGAAACATTCAAAATTCTCTCTTCTAGCTATTTGAAAATATTGTTAACTATAGTCTCCATACAGTACTACAGAACACTAGAACTTAGTCATCTTATCTAGCTGTAATTTTGTACTCATTAACCAATCTCTTCCTATTTTCTTTTCCCTGTTACCCTTCCCATCCTCTAATAACAACAACTCTACACTCTACTTCTTTTTTTTAATTTTTTTATTTTTTGAGTCAGAGTCTCACTCTGTCGCCCAGACTGGAGTGCAGTGGCCGCTCCCGGCCACCGCAACCTCGACCTGCTGGGTTCTGGCGATCCTTTCGCCTCAGCCTTCCGAGTAGCTGGAATTACAGGCATGCGCTACCACGCCCGGCTGATTTTTTTTGATTTATTGTAGAGATGAGGTCTCGCTGCCCAGGCGGGTCTCGAACCCGCAGGCTCAGGCAATCCACTCACCTCAGCCTCCCAAAGGCGCGGGATTACAGGCTGAGCCACCGAGCCCGGCTCACTCTACTTATATGAGCTAAATTTTCTTTAGCTCCCACATGTGAGAGAGAGCATGCGGTATTCATCTTTCCATATCTGACTTATTTCATTTAACATAATATCCTTCAGGCTTATCTATGTTACTATAAATGACTGAATGTCATTCTTTTTTATGACTGGGTAGCATTCCATTGTGCATATACACCAATTTTCTTTATTCATTCATCTGTTGGTAGACATATAGATTGATACCGTATATTGGCTGTTGTGAATGGGCAGCTAGCGCTTCAATTTCCTGATTTCCTTTCCATTGGATAAATACTCAGTAGTGGGATTGCTGAATCATATAGTATTTCTATTTTTAGTTTTATGAAGAACCTCCAGCTATTTTCCATAATGGCTATGCTAATTTACATTTTCACCAACAATGTATTAGAATTCCCCTTTCTCCACATCCTCCCCAGTGTTGGTTATTTTTTGTCTTTGGTAATAGCCATTTTAACTAGAGTAAATTCTTACTTTTAAACTCATATGTCTAATAGTCAAATTATTGCACCTGATTTTTGTTTGACTTTTATTTGCTTAGACTAGTAGTTCTCAATGGGGAAGGACCTGATTTTGTGTCCCAGGTGACATTTGACAATGTCTGAGAAATTTTTGTTTGTCATTATTGGAGGATGCCACTAGCATCTAGTGGGTAAAGGCCCAGGATGCTGCTGTGTTTAATTCACATAACAGAATCCCACGTAAAAGAATTCTCTGGCTTAAAACATCAGTAGCACCAAGGTTAACAGTAGTATTTTCTAAAGAATGGTTAGGTTGTTGATGCTTGGTGGAGGTTACTTTAAATAGGTTATAGCCCCTTTCATTTCCATAGACACTAGTTGATCTCGCTGTAGTTCATGAACCTCAGACCCCAACCAGATGCCTTAAACATTTCTGCTACTGATTAAAGAATAAGATGAGATAATAAAGATGAGTGGTGCAAAACTCACTACTTCTAGAAAAATGTCTCAAAGCCTGATGTGTTTTACTTAATCTAAATCTATCTCTCCCCATGTGACTAGTTTTCTTTTTCTTTTCCCTTTTTTTTTTGGAGTCAGAGTCTCACTCTGTTGCCCAGACTGGAATGCAGTGGCACACTCATAGCTACCCCAGCGTCGATCTGCTGGGCTCCGACGATCCTTCTGCCTCTGCCTTCCAACAATTTCACCAGAAAAGTAGCCAGAACTACAGATGCGTGCTTCCACGCCCAGCTAATTGTTTATTTATTGTAGAGACAAGGTCTCGCCACATTGCCCGGGCTGATCTCGAATCTGTGGGCTCAGGCAATGCACTCGCCTCAGGCCTCCCAAAGTGCTGGGATTATAGGCTGAGCCACCGAGCCCAACTGACTAGTTTTCACTAGGTTGGAATTAGGCTATAGAATTTGACCAGCAGCATTGTTTGTTACCAGCTCCTGAATTAATTGTCTACAGGCTTGTGGCAGAGTGACTGTTTCCTTAAAGGCAGGCAGTTCTCCAACTCCAAGCACAGTCACCTGCCGTCTAATGGAAGGCATTATATGGAAGGCCCACAACTCTTCACACACATTCATGCTTACACCCTTGCCCTATTCCTTTCTTCCACTGATTATAGGAGGTAAGAAACACTAAACTGTACGTAATTGCTGTTAATAAGTGAAAATTAATAACTAGTAAAATTGTTCAGGCTAGGCACAGTGCATCACGCCTGTAATCTCAACACTTTGGGAGGCCAAGGCAAGAGGATTACCTGAGCCCATGAGTTCAAGATCTACCTTGGCAACTTGTCAAGAACTCATCTCTACAATAAATCAAAACATTAGCTGAACGTGGTGGTACACCTGTATTTCCAGCTACTTGGAAGGCTGAGGTGGAAGGATCACCTGAGCCCAGCAGCCCGAGGCTGCAGTGACTGCGAGCGTGCCACTGCACTCCAGCCTGGGCGACAGAGTGAGACACCAACTTAAAAAAACTGTTCTTCATAAGTGCCTTTTAGGGGATAGTTTTTCATCATGTATTTTACTATCCCTTGTGACCTTATTCTATCCTTGACAAGTTGATCCACCATGAACAGAGAGAGCCATATTTGAGCTATAGCCTGAAAACATTTGTCAGTATGCAAGAAAGAACTAATGGTAGTATATGCCAATAATATAATATATACCAATTCTGACTTTCTTTTTTTGTTTTGCTTTTTTGAGCCATATTTCTCTAAAAATACTACCTCAGAAAACACTATAGCAAACCAAGATTTGCGTAGTTGGAACTGTAAATCTGTAAGTCCTTAAGCATGATGGAGAAGAGTTGTTTAGGATTTGACCATTTGTGTTCATTTAACTTTGAAAGCAGTTATAAATAAAAAAAAATTTATGAAGAAAATTACTTGGGATAACTTACATAGAATAGTCTGCATTAAGTGGCTTATCATGGATGCATTGTTTTATTAGTACTTTTAGTCTTCCTAAGAATAGGTGGAATACTTCATAGAGCTCTAGGCCTTTTTTTTAGTTTTTAGTAGAAATTTTATGTATTGATGTTTGGGAGGATGTACATGGCATAGTGGGATAAGCATTCGCTTTTATGGCAAATCCAGGCCCAAATTCTGCCACTTAATCATTAGTAAACATATCAATGTTTATTCTCAGACCACTTAACTGAAGGACTTGCGTCAGCACCTGAAAAGAAGGGATTCAGGGCCAGGAGTCCAAGGTGATAGGGTTGCCTGAGCCCACAGGTTTGAGACCAGCCTGGGCAACTTGACAAGACCTCATTTCTACAACAAATCAAAAACTTAGCTGGGCTTGGTGATACATGCCTGTAGTTCCAGCTACTTGGAAGGCTGAGCCCAAAGGATCACCTGAGCCCAGCAAGTCGAGGCTGCGGTGGCCGTGAGCATGCCACTGCACTCCAGCCTGGGCGACAGAGTGAGACTCCAACTCAAAAAAAAGAAAAGAAGGGAGAATACTTAAATGACAGAAATAAAATAACCAGTAAATAAGATAGATGTAAAAGAATGATCAGGAGGAAGACAGAGTAACTGTTATTTGAAGTCATCAGTTCATTTGTACATGGATTGCAGTGATCAGGAGCACAGGGTTTGGAGGCAGACAAATGACCTCTGGCTCTATCATGGATCACTGGCTGTGCCCAGGGACCAGCTGCAGCTCTTTGATCAGCCTACAATGGCATGTGACTTGCACAAGTTCGTAGAGTGAGTCAAGTGAGCAGCTGAGGCTTTGCTCTCTCTGTCTCATTCTCTTCCCTGAGAAGTTGTTCTACTGATGACTGTCTTGGGGCACGTTGTAAGGAGGGATGAAGTCATAATTGTGAGGAGCGGCCAAGGTGTCTGGCACAGGGCAAGCGCCAGTACGTGAAGGTAGTGAATGCAGTAAAATGTTGCCCTAGTTCCTTTCCTCAAGTAGTTTATCTGTCTTGTTGATGAGAGCCACACACTGTATTCTAAGTCTTAAATATTTGGAAACAGATTAAGTTCTAGAACTACATTATACTAATAAATCTAATGCATAGTTTAAATGAGAATATTGCTAATTAGTATAAATGCTATAATGCAAGTAGTATTCCTGGACAAAAAGTGTATAAACACTTGACCTTTTTTCCTACATCGACTTTATTTTTAGGACCCTGCAGGGAATTAAGAGGGGCAAGCAAGAGTGGCGGCAGAGAGACCAATGTGAAGGTGGTACAGTGGTGAGCTGTGATGGGCGCCCAGGTTAGGGTGGAGGCAGAGGCAGTGGTGAGAATGTTAAAAGACTCTACTCAAGGCTTGAGATTTGGTAAAATAGATCATTGTTACTGCTTCAGCAAGGATATCCTTAAGGGGAGCTGGCATTATTTTTTCAGTGAGTAAATGACAGAAAATACAACTAACACCATAATGTACCACTGCCTTGATTTTTGACGTGGCAACGACAGTCCCACCCACCATTGCTTTTGTACCATCAGTACAAATGTCAACATGGTGGAATTATACTGAATTTTAAAATGTGCTCTTTTCAGTAACCAGGCTTCATCCTGTCTCCCTGTGGCTATAGATCCTAATTATCTCATGGCTAACGAACGCATGAACCTGATGAATATGGCCAAGCTGAGTATCAAGGGCTTGATTGAATCCGCTCTGAACCTGGGGAGGACTCTAGACTCTGACTATGCACCTCTCCAGCAATTCTTTGTGGTGATGGAGCACTGTCTGAAACATGGCTTGAAAGGTAGGCCTCAAAGTGCAAATGTACTTGCAGCTATTTCCAAGCAATACGTATTCCAGAAGAAAGCATTCTTTGTGGAGCCAAATGATAATAGGCTTGAGATAATAATGTTAATCCATTGGAATGCAACCTATATGAGAGTGAGGTTATGGTTAACTTACAGTGAGGTTATGGTTAACTTACAGGACTTAAAAACATACTGATCATTAAACGTTGGAGTTGGAAGGGCCATTATAGTTAATCAAGTCCAATACAATTCCAACAGACAGGCGGAAATAGGGCGGCCTAGAATAGCACAAGACTTGCCTGTGACTGTGAGCTGGGGCAGATCAGGTACTGGAACTCAGGTCTCCCAACTCTTGCCTCAGTGTTCTTTCCAATTAACTGTAAGCCTTCAAGGGTAAGACCTGGTCTTGTTCACCTTGGCTTCCTTTCTTCCTCCCTTCCCCACATTCAATAGACTGTTTCTGAATTATATATTCTTTCCATCGGACTGTTTTCTTCCTTAATACCACATGATTTTAAACACAGTACTATATTGTTAAAAGTGTTTTGTTACATTATTGGGCTAGGTTACAAATTCTTCTTGAAAGAATAAGGATTGAATCTTTGGAAGCAGAGAATTTTTTATTTTCACAAAATGTCATCTATAATTCTAAAACTGTCTAATAACTTAGAATTGGTTTCTTGAAAAGGACTTTGAATAGATGGGAGAGAAACGTGTGTGTGTGTGTGTGTGTGTGTTAAGAGAATGCTTTGTTGCAAAGAATGTTAAAATATTGCTTTGTTTTTGTTGTCTTAGCTAAGAAAACTTTTCTTGGACAAAATAAATCCTTCTGGGGGCCTCTAGAACTTGTAGAAAAGCTTGTTCCAGAAGCTGCAGAGATAACAGCAAGTGTTAAAGATCTTCCAGGACTTAAGTAAGTCTAAGGTTGAATTCTGTTTCTCAGGAACAATATTCTTATTAAGTATCTCCCTGAAGAGTGAGACTAAGGATAATGATGTTCATAATAATTTCTTTCATAACAATCCAAAATGCATAGTGTCGTTATGAATAGACTGTTATGAGAGAACTAGTATACAGAATTTTAAGGAAAGTATGACCTTGGGGGATAATTATTCATCTAAGAAAAGTTGTCTTCATGTGAAATACCAAACATTTCCTTACTTTTTTAAAGCACTTGTGTGAATCAGTGAGCCTCAAGAAATTAGATATAAGGAGGTGGCATGCTGGATTGATTTAGGGAACAGAATGTATTGATGGGTTTGAGAGTTAAGATTAAACAATTGCCAAGTAAACTTCAGGACCTGCACCTACAGCCTGCCTTACAACTTGAAAAAGAGTAACAATTACCCTTCCAGATGAAATTGGTTTAATTTTAGTCACATAAAGCCCTAAATTGCCTCTGTCCACATTAGTACTTGAATACTTATAGAATCCACAGGAAACTTTGGAGATTTACAATACTAACCTGATGGAGCATTTTCAGCTAGGCTTCCCAAGGTCTGCCCTTCAAATTATAGACATTAAAGACACGTTCAGTAATTCTTTATGAGAGCACTTGTCCCAACACAGCCCGCACAAAATTTATTGTGTAGGAATGTGGTGGGAGAGGCCTCAAGTAGCACCTCAGTGTTCTTGTTAGGCAGGGAGACCATTAGCAAGAGCAAATGAACCTATTCTCACTGTAGCCCTGCTTCCATTACTTTTGTTTTTAGTTATTCAATTTCTGTTTTTGTAGGACACCAGTAGGCAGAGGAAGAGCCTGGCTTCGTTTGGCATTGATGCAAAAGAAACTTTCAGAATATATGAAAGCTTTGATCAATAAGAAAGAGCTTCTCAGGTACAAATACCTTCTTCTCAAACTTTCTTCTTTCCTTGGTGTATTCTATATCATATAAAGTTGAACCATGTAAGTTCACCATTTTTATAAATCAGAAATAGTTGATCCATAACAATTTTACTAACACTTTTTCACACTCTGAGTGGATGCTTTATATCATGTGTGTTCTGCCTGTAACTATGGTCCTTTCCAGAGCAGGCCAAGACTTATTGTTAGAAAACGGAAAAGGCACCTTAGCCTGTGCCCAGGTTCAATAAGACAAGAAGTTGGCATGCAGCATCAGTTCAAATATAGCACCAAAAAAACCTTCCAAATGGGTCACAGTTATAAGTGGGAGAGACAAAACAATGAAACTTTTAGAAGAAAGCATAGGCAGGCAAACATTTCTTAAACAGGATGTAAAAAGTATAAAGGAAAGAAATGGATAAATTGGTCCACATTAAAATGAAGACTTTCTGTTCACCAAAAGACACTCTTAAGATTAAGGGTGAGCTAGGTGTTGTGACCCACACCTATAATCCCAGCACTTTGGGAGGCAGAGGTGAGAGGATTGCCTGAGTCCAGGGGCTCAAGACCAGCCTGGGCAACTTGGTGAGACCTGTTCTATATCAAAAAATTAGTTGGGCATGGTGGTGCACACCTGTGGTTCCAGCTACTTATAAGACTGAGGCAGAAGGATCACCTGAGCCCAGCAGGTCAAGGGTGTGGTGGCTGTGAGCATGCCACTGCATTCCAGCCTGAATGACAGAGTGAAACTCCTACTCAAAAAAAAAAAAAAATTAAGGGTTAAAGTCAACCCATAGAGTGAAAGGAGATATTTGTAATTAATTCGTAATTCATATATTCAACAAAGGATATATATTCAGGGATCTTTATTCATATAAAGAACTCCTTCAATCCAATAAAAAAAATGCAGACAAGCAAATATGAAAATCCATAAAAAACTTAAACGGGTATTTTACAAAAGAGGACATGGAAATGGCCAGGCAACCTATAAAAAGATACCCACCTTCACTAGCTATCATGTAAGTGCAAATTAAAGCTGCATGTGATACTGCTGTAAACTCACTAAAAGGGCTACAATGAGAAAGACATGTTAATACCAAGTGTTGGTGAAGATGTAAAGTAACTTTAGTGCTCTGCCAATGGGAAAGTTAACTGGTACAGAAATTTGAGGAAACTGTTTGGCATTATCTATTAAAACTGACTATAATCATACCTTATTACCCAGTAATTCTAGTTATTATAGCCAATGGAAATAAGTAGTTATGTTCAACAAAAGACGAACAAGAATATTCATAGCTGGCCAGGCATGGTGGCTCACGCCTATAATCCCAGCACTTTGGGAGGCAGAGGCGAGTGGATTGCCTGAGCTCAGAGGTTCAACACCAGCCTGAGCAACATGGCAAGATCTCATCTCTACAGTAATTCAACAGATTAGCCAGGCATGGTGGCACATGTCTATAGTTCCAGCTACTTGAAAGGATAAGGCAGAAGGATCACCTGAGCCCAGCAGGTTGAGGCTGTGGTGGCCGTGAGCATGCCACTGCACTCCAGCCTAGGCAACGGAGTGAGACTCTGACTCAAAAAAAAAAGAGAGAGAGAGAAAAGAAAATGTATCTAGCCGTATGATATTCAAATATAATAAATAAACACAGAGAAATAATGTACAAGGAAGAACAAGTAACAGAATTTAAAGAAACAGCCGGATTTTTTGCCCAAGAGCCTAGTTTTTGCAATTTGCAAGAAATTGCAATGTAGATCCTAATGGAGCAATGCTTTGATACTGCTGCAGGTATACATATGCCATTGATTGCTGGGGTTATTTTTTTTTGTTTTGTTTGTTTGTTTGTCTGTTTGCCTAAGGAAATTGAACAAATCCGGAAAGAGAAATAGGAGCCATTCAGGAGCTTATTTATCTCCACAGAGTGGAGGCTTAGCTTTCCAAAGGCCAGTTCTTAGAGTGGTAAAGGGTCTAGTGTTCAAGCTATAGGTAGCTCCAAGGTAGTATCTTTGATCAAAATTGCATGGTTCTAAGTGGGGTCTGAAGTATCAGCTCTTTGTCCAGCATATAGCACTGGAGTGAGCACATTCAGTTGTGTGCACTGGGCAGAGTAGTCTTCATGCATAGCTTTACTCACCTGGGCCCAGCAATTTCACTCCTAGTATGTCTAATAGAAATGCACATGTATTTGTATCAAAAAGCACTGGAAATCCAGCTCTCTTTCAACAATAAACAGAATGGATACATTGTAGTATATTCCTACATTCCTTTGGAATGGTATCCAGCAATGAAAACTCTTGAACTACAGCTACATATAGCAGTATATGAATCACACAAATATTTGCACAAAGGAAGTCAGACACAAAAGAGTATGTACTATATTATTCCATTTATATAAAGTTCAAAAATAGTTAAAATCAATCTATGGGGGTAGCAATCAGGATAATGGTTGCTATGTGGGAGGGAGGGGTAAGGGTACTGATTGGGAGAGAGAAAGAGCAGATTTCTAGGATTCCAGGGCTGTTCTCTAAACTGATCAGGGTAGTAATTACCCATACAGCTGTGTTTTTTGTGAAAATTCGTGGAACTGAAATTCTGTTAGCTGCGTGCTTTGAAATGTGTAAATGTTGGAATTCAGCCTTGTTCAGCTTCTAAGCAGCTATCTAAACAACTTTTAATGGAAGCTTTTGGGAGAATAAACTATTTAAGTACGTGTTCATTTCAATTCTACTCAGTTTTCCTTCAGAGACTATCAAAGAACAAAAATAGCCTGCAATCAACTTTTGAGAGATATAGTACATTTGAAGGTCATTCATGTACTCTGTTCGTAATATTCTACTATTTGTTAATATCTCTTATAGAGGACCAGAAAAGAAACAAAGATGAATTGTTTCAAAATTAGTAAATTGTATTGATTGTTTACAGTGGTGGAGGTTGACCTTGACTAGTCCCAGGATATTTTGTGGATTATAAATAGACTTCAATGTTGTTTCAATCATGATGTCCACTTGGTTGAAAATGAGTATTTCAAGTCACTGGGTTTTGTTTTGGGTTTTAGAACAATTTTAATATAGTAGTATTGAGCAGAAGATACACAGATTTTCTATATAACCCTTGTCCGCTGCATAGCCTCCCCCATTACCAACATCCCACACCAGAGGCGTACATTTGTTACAATCAACGAACCTGTATTGACACATGATCTCCCTAAGTCCATAGCTTGCATTAGGGTTCTTCTCTTGGTGTTGTACGTTCTGTGGATTTTGACAAATGTTTAATGACATGTATCTATAAGTCATTACAGCATTGAACAGAATAGTCTCATTGTCCTAAAAGTCCTCTGTGCTTTGTCTGTTCATCCCTATTCCCCCCTGGCAACTGCTGATGCTTTTATTGTCTGTATGGTTTTGCCTTTTCTAGAATGTCATGTAGTTGGAATCGTTTAGTATTTAGCCTCTCACACTGGTTGGGAAGATGCAAAAATATTTCGGGTTTTTTTGTGGCTGTTGTGAATGGGATTGTACTTTTGTGGGGGGGTCTCTGCCTGCTTGTTGTTGGTATATAAGAATGTAACTGTCTTTTGCACATTTATTTTATACCTTTAGATTTTGCCAAAGTCCTTTATCAGTGCAAGCAGGTTTTTACAGATTCTCTTGGATTTTCAAGGTATAGGATCATATCACCAGCAAAGAGGGATAGCAGTTCACATTTTTAAACTGTTTATTCACTGTATTAAGAAAAATGTGTTTAAATAGAATTTAAAATAAAGCAAACGAGAAAAAAGACAAATTTTTAAAGAACACACCAGACACATTTTTAAGATGTATAAAAGATTATGAGATTATCTCATAATACATCACAAATACAAATCTGTCAGAAAAGTGTGAATACTCACTTCAGCCACAGTACCATTCTGGTCATATTTCTTTCAGCCAGACTGTCTATTTAAATAATCTATTCCTGGTAGCACATACCTGTAGTTCCAGCTTCTTGGAAGGCTGAGGTGGAAGGATTGCTGGAGTCCAACAGGTCGAGGTTGCGGTGGCCAGGAGCATGCCACTGCACTCCTGCCTGGGCAACAGAGTGAGACTCCAACTCAAAATAATAATAATAATAATAATAGTAATAATAATAATCTATTCCTGCAACTGTTATCTAAAATAAATTATTATTGGAGCCTTTCTCTCTCTCTCTCTTTTTTTTTACTTTTTCGCTATTGTCATAGATGACCATATTCAGCCATGAAACAAGCGTTTTTCTCCTGTCTCGTGACTGCATCCTTGGAGTTTTGAGGTTGTGTTACAAAAAGAATTCTTTGGATTTCTCTTACAGTGAATTCTATGAACCCAATGCCCTCATGATGGAGGAAGAAGGAGCCATAATTGCTGGTCTCTTGGTGGGTTTGAATGTCATTGATGCTAATTTCTGCATGAAAGGAGAAGATTTGGACTCTCAGGTATGAGAATACTAGTTTCTAAAGTGTATTATATTACTCTTAGTTTTGTTGTTTGAGAACTAGATTCATTAGATTATGCCAGCCAAATTAGGGGAAATTCTGTGAGTTGTAACTAGAATTTCCTTTAATTTTAATGTGAATGTTAAAAATTAGTTTGCTTTTCCTTACAACTTGACTCATTTATGCATTATGAATATTTTTCAAATTCTTGTCTTAGCTGTGATCTCTTCTAAATATATATCAGGGTGCCAAAAAAAAGTATACATATTTTAAGAAATGTTATCTACTGTAATCAGAAGTGTCTGACACTAATGGCAACCACTTTGAGCACCTCTTGTAATTGCAGAAGTAAAACGTGATTTGTAGCTATCTTTTGTTATCAGTATATATTGAGTATTTCAATTTTAATACAGTTTTTCCTTTCTTAAAATGTGTACACATATTTTTGGCACCCTGGGTATATACACACACACATACGGGGATACCTGGAGATGTTATGAATTTGGTTGCAGACCAAGACAATAAAATGAATATCAAGGTAAATTTTTTTTTGGTTTCCCAGTGCATATAAAAATTTGTTTACAGTATACACTATATAGTCTAAGTGTGCAATAACCACTATATCTTTTTAAAAGTACATAATTTTAAAATACAAAATAAAATAAAGTACTTAATTTTAAAATACAGTACAGCCCCTACCTACAAACCTTCAAGTTTCAAACTTTCAAAGATATGAAAGTGTTCCCTTGTCCAATCATGTAAGGTAGTTCACATGTCTGGCATACATTGTCACGTGCTGTACTGTAGGATTTAAAATGTTTTATTTCTTTTTTTTTGCCTTTGTTAGGTTTTAAGTATCATTTGTGTTAACAGTATTATAAACCTTCTATAGTACAGTACTATATAGTTGATTGTTTTAGTTGGATACCTAGTCTAACTTTGTTGAACTCACAAACAAATTGGATTTACGAACACATTTTTAGAACAAAACTTAATCATATATAGGGGACTTATTGTACTTTATAAGATAGATATACTAGTGTAATAATCTTTCTGCTGGAGGTGTGTCTCACCTTGATGTTGATAACTGCTAATTAATCAGGGTGCTGGTTGCTGAAGGTTGGAGTGGCTGTGATAATTTCTGGAAATAAGACAATGAAGTCTGCCCATCAATTGACTCTTTCATGAGAGATTTTTCTGTAGCATACCGTGCTGTTTGATAGCATTTTATCCACAGTTGAACATCTTTCAAAATTGGAGTCAGTCCTCTCAAGCCCTGTTGCTGCTTTATCAACTAAGTTTTTGTAGTATTCTAAATTCTTTGTTGTCATTTCTACAATGCTCACAGCATCTTCACCAGGAGTAAGTTTCATCTCAAGGAACCACTTACTTTGTTCATCCATAAGAAGCAGTTCCTCCTCTGTTCAAGTGTGATCATGAGATTGCAGCAATTCATAGTTTCAGGCTGTACTTTTCATTGTAGTTTGCTGTTTCCACCACCTCTATAGTTACTTTCTCCACTGACGTCTTGAATCCCTCAAAGTCATCCATGAGAACTGGAGTCAACTTCTTCCAAGTTCCTGTTAATGTTGATATTTTTCCTCCTTCCATGAGTCATGAATGTTCTCAGTGGCATCTAGAATGGTGAATCCTTTTCAGAAGGTTTTTAACTTACTTTTCCCAGAGGAATCACAATCTATGGCAGCTATAGCCTTATAAAATATATGTCCTAATTAATGAGACTTGAACATCAACATTACTCCTTGATCCATGAACTGCAGAATGAAAGTTATGTTAGTAGGCATGAAAACAACATTCATCCCCTCCACATCTCTGTCAGAGCCCTCAGGTGACTAGCTGCATTGTCAGTGAGCAGTAATAGTTTGAAAGGAATCTTTTTTTTATGAGCACTATGTCTCAACAGTGGGCTTAAGATAGTTAGTAAATCATTCTGTAAATAGATATGCTCTCATCCAGGCTTTGTTGTTCCATTTATAGAGCACAGGCAGAGTAGATTTAGCATAATTTTTAAGGACCTTAGCATTTTCAGAATGATAAATTAGCATTGGCCTCAACTTTAGGTCATGAGTTGCATTAGCCCCTGACAAGAGAATCAACCTGTCCTTTAAAACTTTGAAGCCAGGCATTGACTTAGCCCTCTAGCAGTGGGAGATCTAGATGGCATTTTCTTCCAATAGAAGACTTCTGACTACCTTGAAAACCTTCTGGATAACTTGCTGAAGCTTCTACATGAGCACTTGCTGCTGAATCTTGAACTTTTATGTTATGAACACAGCTTCTTTTCTTAAACTTCATGAACCAACCATTACTAGCTTCCAACTTTTCTTCTGTAGCTTCTTCTCTCAGGCTTCATAGAATTAAAGAGCCTTGCTTTGGATTAGGTAGGCTTTGACTGAAGAGGATGTTGTGGATAGTTTGATCATCTGTCCATACCATTTGAAATTTCTACATATCAGCAATAAGGCTGTTTTGCTTTGTTGTTCCTGTGTTCACTGAAGGATCACTTTCAATTTTTTTCAAGAACTTTTCCTTTGCATTCACAGCTTAGCTAACTGGCACAAAAGGCCTATCTCAACTTTTGCCTTTCTAACTATGTTAATCATTTCAGCTTTTTATTTTTTTTTTATTTTTTTGAGTTGGAGTCTCACTCTGTCGCCCATACTGGAGTGCAGTGGCACTCCCGGCCACTGCAGCTTCGACCTGCTGGGCTCCAGCAATCCTTCCACCTTAGCCTTCCAAGTAGCCAGAACTACAGGTGCACGCTACCTCGCCCGGCTAATTTTTTTATTTTATTGTAGAGATGAGGTCTCGCCAAGTGGCCCGGGTGGGTCTCGAACCCATGGGCTCAGGCAGTCCACTCACCTTGGCCTCCCAAAGCATGGGATTGCAGGCTGAGCCACTGAGCCCGCCTAGCTTTTGATTAAAAGTGAAAGATGTTGTAACTCTTCCTTTCACTTTAACACATAGAAGCCATTATAGGTTATTAATTGGTCTAAACTCAATATTGTTGTGTCTCAGGTAATAGGGAAGTCAAGAAGAAAGGAGAGAAATGGCCGGGGTCAGTGGCTCAGCCTGTAATCCCATGCCTTTGGGAGGCTGAGGTGAGTGGATTGCCTGAGCTCGCGGTTCAAGACCCGCCTGGGCAGGCGAGACCTCATATCTACAATAAATCAAAAAAATTAGCCGGGCATGGTAGCGTGCACCTGTAGTTCCAGCTACGTGGAAGGCTGAGGTGGAAGGATCACCGGAGCCCAGCAGGTCGAGGCTGCGGTGGCCGGCAGTGGCCACTGCACTCCAATCTAGGCGACAGAGTGAGACTCCAACTCAAAAAAAAAAAAAGAGTGAATAGCCTGAGGCCAAACTGCATAGGTTCAGATTCTGGCTTTCTCAATTTCTAGCTGAATGTATTTTGTAGTTAACTTAGTTTCTTCATGATTTAGAGTCCTTGATGTATACAAGGATGAAAAAGGATATCTATTTAATAAGGTTATTGTGAAAAATAAAGGAGTTAGTACATTAAAACAGGGTCTGAGACCAGGCGTGGTAACTCACGCCTAGAATCCTAGCACTTTAGGAGGCCAGGGTGAAAGGATTACCTGAGCTCACGGGATCAAGACCAGCCTGGACAACTTGGCGAGACCTCATCTCTACAATAAATAAAAAAATTAGCTGGGCATGGTGGTATGTGCCTGTTCTAGCTATTTGGAAGACTGAGGTGAAAGGATCACCTGAGCCCAGCAGGTTGAGGCTGTGGTGGCCATGCACTCCAGCCTGGGTAACAGGGTAAGACAATGATTCAAAAAAAAAAAAAAAAAGCAGGGTCTAGCACATATTAATTGCCTGATAAAGTTTATGTTTTCACTATGATTATTTCTAACCCTTTCTGTATGAAATATTATGGCACAAGTTTAAAAAATAAATAATTTTTAAAATAAATAAAAATTAAATTTAAAAATGTCATGACAAACTTCAGTTACATTTTATTCTGGGAAAAAGGAAATATGATATTTTGGTCTGAATCTTTAGAAAAGAAACTGAATAATAAAATGACAATCTGGAAAAATTAAGATGTGCATCAATGAAACTTGGGAATAGTAGACACCAAAATATTAGCAGAGGGCATTAGTTGTTGAAATTATGAGTATTTTTTATTACTTCTTTTTGTTTTTCTGTATGTTCTGAAGTTTCTACAGGGGAATGGATATTATTTTTGTAATTACAATTTTTTAAAATTATTTGTTAAACTTAATAGGAATTCAGTAGCAGAATGCCTGAAATAAGCAAAAGAGAAAGACGCTCTAGCCCTTATTTGTAGTAAGCATTCTGCTGACTGTCTTAATCATGATCGAGCCTTCTAGTCCTATTGATATAATCTTGGTTCTTTACCTACCTCCAACCCTTGTCAATTCATGCTTATACTAAAAGTAAAACATTAAATGTTCATTGTACATTTCTGGTAATTGTCATGACTGTATTACTATTTTGAGTGTCTAGAAAGAGACATTGTGTTATGTCTTAGGAAGAGTATCTAATTTTTATTAAATTCTGAAACTTCTCTCTATAGGTTGGAGTCATAGATTTTTCAATGTATCTCAAGGATGGGAACAGCAGTAAAGGTAGCGAAGGGTATGTACAAAAAAAATTAGGATTCTTTTTTTCCCCTGATGTAGTAGTTTTCAGACTTTTGTAGTATTTAAAGTTTGCAACAATACTGTTTTAATAACATGCTTGCTGGAACAATTTTGACAGATTTGCTTATAGTGTAGCTTGAATAAAGTCTTACCAAAAATATCTGATTATTATGCTTGCTACTAAACACTAAAGGGTTTGTTTGTTTTTTTTAGTTGAGTGAAAGTATGCATCATGGGTTTTATAAAATGTTAATTTTAGGGGAGCTGAGTGAAGGGTATGTGGGAATTCTGTATTGCTTTTACAACTCTTCTTGTAAATCTAAAATTATTTCAAAATAAAAGTTTTTAAAGTATTTACTGTGATACTTAGTAATTAGAGATAAGAGACATAACCATTATTAGCAGTTCAAAGCATAATTAGTCTGATGTTTTTAACTTTGGACATTGAAGTAAGATTATGTTGCTTATTCTTTTGGTAATTGTATAGGCATGTGGCCTTAATTTTATTTTTCTGCTGAAAAATCTAGTTGTTTAACTTTTGCTAGCTATATATTAGTTGGTTTCTCATATAATAATGATAAACACCGAATCTTTATGAAAGCCTTTTTTACCATTCACTTTGAATGTATATAGCACTTACAGGCAAATGTACAGCCTTTAAGAGCAACTGTATTACACCAGAGTGAGCTTAATTCAATACCTCTGGCAAATGGAAAATTGTTACTATTAATAATACTAGTGAGGTTGAAAAACCTATTAACAAGAAGAAAATTTTTTTTCTTTAAGTGTTTCTGATAGATTGTAACATACCTATAACCTAAGTTATTAAGATTTGGAAACTTTAACAAGGGCCTTATTAATGTGAGTATTGTTTTTTGTTTTGTTTGTTTTTATTTTTATTTATTTATTTATTTATTTATTTTTGAGTTGGAGTCTCACTCTGTCGCCCAGACTGGAGTGCAGTGGCCGCTCCCAGCCACCGCAGCTTCGACCTGCTGGGCTCCGGCGATCCTTCCGCCTCAGCCTTCCAAGTAGCCGGAATTACAGGCATGCCCTACCACGCCTGGCTGATTTTTTTTTTTTTGACTTATTGCAGAGATGAGGTCTCGCTGTTCAGGCAGGTCTCGAACCCATGGGCTCAGGCAGTCCACTCACCGCAGCCTCCCAAAGGCGCGGGATTACAGGCTGAGCCACGGAGCCCGGCCTGTTTGTTTTTATTTTTATTCTTTGAGTCAGAGTCTCACTTTGTCTCCCAGACTGGAGGTCAGTGGCATGCTCATGGCCACCGCAGCTTAACCTGCGAGGCTCAGGTAATCCATCCATCTCAGCCTTCCAAGTAGCTGGAATCAGAGGCACACACCACCATGCCTGGCTGATTTTTTTTTATTTATTGCAAAGATGAGGTCTTGCCAAGTTGTCCAGGCTGGTCTTGAACCCCTGGGCTCAGGCAGTCCTTTCACCATGGCCTCCCAAGGTGCTGGGATTACCGGTGTGAGCTACCAAACCCAGCAAGGTTTTTAATTTTTGAACTTCTCAGTTGTCCTTTTTGATATGTCAAGAGGGTTATACATTAGACCTGCCTTCTGGTTCAGTGTATTTTTGCCATTTTTTTTTTTCCTCATGTTTTCTGAAAAGATGGAGGTGGGGTGAGATCTTAAGTTTTGTTTTGTTTTGTTCTTTGATGTTATTTATTTTATTTCTATTTTCTCTCTTCTCCCTGCCCCAGAGATGGTCAGATTACTGCAATTCTGGACCAGAAGAACTATGTAGAAGAACTCAACAGACATCTGAAGTAAATAATGAATAAATATATTACTTTTAGGGGAATTGTTAAGGAAACAGGGAGGGGTAAAATGGTGAGCAGTGAGAATAAATTCACACAGTACTCAACAAATATCTGTAAAATTCCATCTTGCCAGGAGCTGAGTTAGGTGCTGGATAAATGGCACTTAACTGTTTTGGTGACCTTTAGTGATAAGTAGTATAGGACTAGGATGTAATTATAACTCCAGTGATGAAATAAATATACTCAGTTAAGAATTTTAAAATATGTGGCATATAGTTGAAACTGGCAGCCCTCTTGGTTCAGTAGATAATAGCCATGTATTTCAGGACTGATCTTGGGTAAACCACTCATTGCATTAGTACCTTTAGATTAATCATGTCTCTATACTTCCTTACATTTCTCATTTATACATCAAATTGGTAGAAAAATTTACCCTTTCTTCACCATCACTATCATTAATTTACCAAGTACTTACAAAGTAAAGTAGTCCTTCTTTATCTGCAGCAGATACATTCCAAGACACCCAATGGAGGCCTGAAACCACCGATAGTACTGAACCCTGTGTATACTATGATTTTTTTCTATACATACATACCTATGATAAAGCTTAATTTATAAATTAAGTACAGTAAGAGATTAGCAATAATAATAAATAGAATAATTTTAGCAGTGTACTATACTAAAAGTTAGGTGAATATGGTCTCTGTCTCTCAAAATCTTTTATTATCCTGTATTCACCTACTTTTGGGCCACAATTTACTGAAGGTAACTGCAGTCACAGAAAGCAAAACTGTAGTTAAGGGGAGAACTCCTGTGTTTTCAGAACTGTCCAGAACATGAAACTGTTTCCTCTCTCCTGAGGAGAGCTATCCATAAGCTATGGGTTTTCTCAAGTACTTTGATGTTCATGTTATGCTAAAGACTGCTGAATAATTCAGAAGAATAATTAAAATATTCATTAATTATTATCTTATGTGTAGTTCTCTTAAGAATAAAGATAAGCTTTTTTTAACATTATGTATTTTATTATACATACTAGGTACACAGTTAAAATTGAATACAAATCATACTCTCTAGAACATTAGACAATACATAGAACAAAGATATATGAATGAATATGTGATCTTTAACATGTTGATATTACAAAGTTTTTGAACTAATTTTTTATAATAAAAAATTCATTTATTTGAAACTATATGGTTAATGAAGGATTGATGCCATTTAAGTATTAATTTGTAACTTTATTAAACATTTTATCAGTGGTACTTATGTGTGAGAGGAAGAAAATTTTATAGTATATAACTTTCATGTTTCAGGAGGTATTCAACAGTAAAGTTTTTATATTATGAAGAAGAAAGCAAGTGTAAGCACTAGTTATTTTAGAAATGCTCTCCAAACTAGAACAACTTTTATAAAGTATTATTCTTTTCCTAACGCCACTCAAATTGTTTATAAATTGTAAAAATAGAAGTTATGAAAGTTAAAATTTTAACATTTTAGATAGTCAAGTTATAAAAAGGAGCTCAGATTGAAGTTTGAATAACCATTCAGTTTGGCACCTCTTCTTTCCTATACAAAGTACCTTCTCTTACTATCCTTCTTGACTTCAGTTACAAGCAAAAGATAGGCTGAGAGACTGTAGATGCAGACTCACAGTCTCTGACAAAAACTGACAGTGAAGGACCACAGGCAATCCAAGGGACGCAACAGAGCACAACAGTGTTAGTAACTGGAATTTGGTGAAAAAGCAAGCCAAACTTCTCATGCCTTAATAAAGATAAACATTTTTAATTTAAGTAAGACTTATAAAATTATTATACTAGTGTCTATAAATTTTGAGTAGCCTTAATTCTAGCTAGCAAATACAAGAACAGTTTATGTACATTTTCTCTGGGGACCAAGAACTAATAATGACTATGGAGATGGTAGCCAAGCAGAGATATGGTTACAGTTGACAATGAAGTATGAACAATGACACTGTTTTACGCTTTCCACGCCTTAGTTTCTTTATCTGTAATTGGGGATGCCTAATACATAGGGCTGTAAAAGGAATGAATGGAACATTGCAAGTGACATAATTCAGAGGAGTGCCTGGTGCATGTGAGCCTTTAACCCAGGAAGCCTTATTATCATGCACTGGTAAACCCTAACATCTACTGTGTGGTACCGTAGCTCTTTTATCTCTTTGAATACTTATTGAATTCGAATTCCATTGCCAAGGGTCTAGCAGTTAAAGCAGACTGTTCTTTGTAAGCTGTCTTAGAGCCTGTAGGTCTGTCAGAACTTGTGGACATTAGACAATGAATGATAAGTGTGAGGGGTGTTTTTAAAAGGAAGGTATAGAGTATTATTATGTTTTTCAGAAGAGATCATTATGTTTTGTTCTTGTCTTGGTAGTGCTACTGTAAACAACCTTCAGGCAAAAGTAGACGCATTAGAAAAATCCAACACTAAACTGACAGAGGAGGTGAGTGTTTTGGAAATCTTTGATTGACTTACAGGATGTCACAATGTGGCCAGGCATTGTGGGAGACTGAGGCACGAAGATTGCTTAAGGCCAGAAGTTCAAGACCAGCCTGGGCTATATAAATTAATTAAGTAAATAAATAAACAGAATTTCACAATGTACATTAGTAAACCAACAATTTTTTGTCATCTTGGAAATGAAGGACTTGACTTTTCAGATAACATCGACTAGTACATAATTCCTTGTTCTGACTAGAGTGGCCAACTGGCTTACTGCAGTGGTCTCATTTACCCATCTGGACTGCATAGGTAGGTTTCCTGGCTGCTCAAGTATCTTGGTTTGTCTTCTGTGAATATTTTGTCTGGGCTAGCGTAGACTAAATGTTTAGCCATAGCATAATATTCATCATTTATTCATTTAATTAACATTTTGGGCACTATTTATGTATAAGAACTAGACAAAGATTGGTATGTGCCAGGCATTGATTTCTGTGTTTCAGATTGGCAAACTCCCCACTACCCATTTCATTGTTTCTCCTTGGTTCAGTGAGATAGATAAGATAAAGGGCAGTGGTCAGAAGACCAGGAATCTCTGCTCACAAGTCATGCTGGTTTGATGTCATGTGAGCCTGAGTAAGTGAGTCACTTGACCTCTGAGAGGCCCAGCTCCCTCAGTGGCAAATGATGGTGTTTACGGTATACTTCCCTTTCGACTTGACCATTACTCTGAAGACCAGAGAAGACTGCACATATAAGTGAAAACTCTTAGAAAAGTCCCTAAAATAAGAGCAGAAAAATGACCTCATGTTTTACTTCTTTTTTTTTTTGAGTTCGAGTCTCACTGTGTCGCCCAGGCTAGAGTGTAGTGGCACACTCACTAACACCGCAGCCTCAACGTGCTGGGATCAAGCAATCCTTCCACCTCAGCCTTCCAAGTAGCTGGAACTACAGGCATGAGCTACCACGCTTGGCTAATTATTTTTTAATTTATTTATTGTAGAGACAAGGTCTCACCAAGTTGCCCAGGATGGTCTCAAACCTCTGGGCTCAGGCAACCCTCTCACTTCAGCCTCCCAAAGCGCTGGGATTACAGGCTTGAATCATTGCACCTGGCCATGTTTTGCTTTTAATAAGAAATTTTTCCTAATTTGCCAAAGGCTAAGCTTCAGATTTTTTTCTTTAAATAGCATTAGATGTTTTTATAAAAAATATTAAATAAAATTATCCAGATGGCAAAGAGGCATTTACCTTCTTTATTTTTAGTTATGATCCTGTTACCTACTGTGGAATAAATTTGATTTAAATAAAATCAAATTAAAGTACTAGTCAGGAAGGTACTGTTAATCAATTTTTTCTTCAGATTAACATTTTCATTGTTATAATTCTTAATTACCTTTCTTATTACTCAGTTCTGTGGACTTCATCTTGGAAGAATATTCTTAAATTGTATATATACATTAAAACTAATTTGCGGATGTGACCTTTAGAATCTTATTCCACAGGCTTTTGGAATATTCAGCACAGAATTTGTTTTACTGTGCTTCTGCTGCTACTACACTGAAACAATATAGCATAGCCATTAAGCATGGTCTCTAAAGCTAGAATTCATGTCCTCATGTCCTGCCTCTGGCACTTGTTGGCTTTTTTTGAAAGCAAAATTTATTAAGCGGACAGAAAAACTTCCACAGTGGGAGGGGACCCGGAGGGCTTGCCCCACTCATTGACTTTCTAATCCTGGGCCAATTACTTCAGTTTCTCTTCCCTGGTTTACTTATCTGTAAAATGGGAATAATGATAGTATTTTCTAAAATTGTTGTGTGAATTAACAAGACCAGTGCTCTAACCCCTGAGCTATAGAGCCTGTTGTGTGAATTAAATGATTTAATAATGAGTAGGGCTTAGAACAGTGCCTGACACATTATAAGCACTCAATAAATACAGTTGTTAATTTTTTTTCTCAGTCACAAGACTTGTCCTCCTAACTTAGACTTCTTATACTGATGGTATTCATTCATTCATTCACTTACTCATTTTACCAGTACCACTTATTTTCTTGAAACTTGGAACCTAGAGATAGGTAAGTACTGTGTATACTTTATAGAGAGCAGATAAGCTAATCAGGTCTGCCTTTATCATTTTCATTTTTGGGTTTAAGAGGGCCACTTCAAAAAGATAACAGACCTCTTCCCCTCATGCCCCCCCCTCCATTGCTGAACCCGAATGACAAATGATAACAAGGATGCAAATGAAGGTATAAATATCTACTGCATTGTTGGTAAAGCTGAATTAGAAAGCCCCCTTGCATCTGCAGCCATGTTTAGGCTTTCTGAAACTTCCTCTTTTTGTTGAGATCTGCCTGAGGGTCTTTGGCTCTAGAAATCAGACCTACTTGCCCAGAATTCTTTACGTGTTGTTAGGCCTATGGAGCAAGGAGAGAAATGGGCCTTTGAGCCTGCATCCAGAAAGCTTGCCCAAGCCCTCACTTCTCTGTTCCTATACCATGTTGGAACAGGACCTGGGCAGAACCTTACCTGCCACAGGTGAGGGGGTAATGAAAAAGGAGACGGCCTGGCTGAGACTTGCCTGACCTCTCAGTTTTCCTCCCAGCACCATTCCGGCACCTTCACGTTCTCTGGGAGTTTAGTGGGTACTGAGGAGGAAAAAGTATTTCCACCTCACTTTTCCACCTGTGAATTGGGGATATAAATGTTTCTCTTTGGCCATATACTGCTAATAGCATGACTTTTTTAGGTGCTGAAATGAAAACTTTCTTCAGTGCTTAATAGGATCTTTTAGAATGAGACTTTTGGAGTGAGTTTCTTTAATCTTTTGGCTTTTTACCTCATTTGTTAAAGATCTTATGGAGGGTCTCATGATGTGAGTGAACTCTTTACTAAACATTTTTAAAATAGATATTTTTACTAAATATCGTAACAAGTTATCCATGAGGACACCCTTGCGATAAACAATCTTAAATTAACATTTTGGCACCGAAAAAGATTTTCCTATAAAAGCAGCAATAAGAAGACTTTTTTTAACCTACTTTAAAAATACTTATCCTAAATCAGCCGGGCATGGTAATGCATGCCTGTAATTCCAGCTACTCGGAAGGCTGAGGCGGAAGGATCGCCGGAACCCAGCAGGTCGCCGCTGTGGTGGCCGGGAGCGGCCACTGCACTCCAGTCTGGGCGATGGAGTGAGACTCCAACTAAAAAAAAAAAAAAAAATGCTTATCCTAACTTCTCTGTAAGAACATTATAGCCGGGCTTGGTGGCTCAGCCTGTAATCCCACGCCTTTGGGAGGCTGAGGTAGTGGATTGTCTGAGCCCGTGGGTTCGAGACCCGCCTGGGCAAGCGAGACCTCCTCACTACAATAAATCAAAAAATTAGCTGGGCGTGGTAGCGTGTGTCTAATTCCGGCTACTCAGAAGGCTGAGGCGGAAGGATTGCCGGAGCCCAGCAGGTCAAGGCTGCGGTGGCCGGGAGCGGCCACTGCACTCCAGTCTGGGCGACAGAGTAAGAAGACTCCAACTCAAAAAAAAAAAAGAGCATTATAGATAGCTTTCTCTCTAGAAATATTCAAGCCTGAAAATTAAGTTCCAGCAGATCATGATTTATTTTATGCTATGTTACTTTTCAAAATATAAAATATTATTTTAAAATTTTTATCAACAGCTTGCAGTGGCAAACAACAGGATCATTACCTTGCAAGAAGAAATGGAACGAGTAAAAGAGGAAAGTTCCTACCTACTGGAATCCAATCGGAAGGTTAATCTTACTGGATTTATAAAATATTCATAGAGATCATGCCAGTGTGTTAGTCGCAAAGGGAAATCTCTAGAGGACTGTTTTAAGCAGCAACATTTGCATGTACCAAGCACACTGTTTTGACGTAGACTCCATGCATAATCGAGTGTATGTTGAAGGTTGTGGTAGGGTTATGCTCCTTTTCCTACACGATATTTCTTGGCTTCACTGCCACCTACATCTATTTAGAGGCTTCAAGAAAAAGTCTCATTCTGTTCCTTGTTTTTATGTATTAATAATTTGTACCATATTTAACTATTTGTTATATTAAATATTCCATTTTTTATACCGTGTTACTGTTGTGTAAAAAGTGATACCTCATTTATCTGATATCACTGGGAAAGAGTTATTATATTAATGAATTTTCTAGATAACTTAATCCCTTAAAGCACCAAACTGTTTATACATATCTAATCAGATTTTTGCAAGTCATTTATATATTTCACAATCCCAAGCCTTGTTAATTAGGAATATAATATAATACATTTAGCCCATGATGACAGGATCATAAGTGTCAACATTGGTAATTCTGTACTAAATTATAACAGTGCTACTTTAAGAGGCTATTGAAATTGATACGCTTATAACACCTACACTTAAATATTCCCATTTGCTGTGGATGGGTTTTTCCAGCCTCTTGTGAACTCACTAGTACCTCTTACTTTTTCCTGCTGCCAGTGTTGTTATCTCTTGAAAGGTCTCTCCTCTTCCTTTTATTTTCATGCTTCTAATCTATTGTCCCCTAGGAATCCAATATCCATGCTTATTAAAATTGTTTCTAAAGAGTAACTAGGCATTGAGTGGGGATGAAAGCAATTTTCTGTGAGTAGCGTTTCACTTTAATGCATGGACTTTGTGAAAACAACTGCTCAGAAGAATTTTTTGGTGACTATTTTTGTCTGTGAGCTCTCTGAATAGTTGAAAATACCAGATATGATATCTCTGGAGATTGAATATATTATCATTAAACCTTTGACCTAACTCATATTTTGCAATGAATACTGTGTTGTTTTTAGAGACTGATTTTTAAAACTTCTACCACCTGGTGTGGTAACTGATCTTGGATTTTAAATAAAGTGGTAGGAAACCACCAATTTAGCTTATTAACATTTTAAAATTTACTAGACTTCTTCAACGTCTTTATTGTCGTTATCCATCGTTATATGCTTGCCATATATATTTTTTTCCTTACTAAATAGCAATGTTAGTGTCTTCTGCTAATTCTGTATAGGGTATTTAAATCCTTAAATATGTACAATTTTTCTTATCTTTCAAGGGTCCTAAGCAAGACAGAACTTCAGAAGGGCAGGCACTAAGTGAAGCAAGAAAGCATTTAAAGGAGGAGACACAATTACGATTGGTAAACTTTGCTTAAGTTCTAATAATTCAGGAACACATTAAAAGGTAACTGCCTGCTTAGATGTTTTATTGTACAGACCAAGATTAGGAATATCAGTAGTGTTCTAAAAAACTTTAAAGATTATATAAAATTGTTTCTTTTTCATTTTAATCCACATTCCCTATAATACTTCCTCAGTCTTTTTCTGAGCATTCTCAACAGTCAATTCTCAATATCCATATTCTCGACATAGTTTTGCCAGTTTTTTTGTTCCTTTATAGTTTGTAATACAAGAACATTCCCTCTCTGACCTCAGTTCTCAGCCCTGCCAAGATTCTGATATATATCTTCTTGGAGGCAGTCCTCTCCCTTTACAAAGAATCATGAATGTACTCTTTTATGTTTAGCTGTTATTTCTGAATTTATTCTTGGTCTTAGATATAAAAGGAAACACTTATTATCCAGTATTAGGCCTAAGTTTTTTTAGAAATTAAAAATATATTTAGGCAGGGCGCAGTGGCCACGTCTATAATCCCAGCACTTTGGGAGGCTGAGGTGAGAGGATTGCCTAAGCGCACTGGTTCGAGACCAGCCAGGGCAACTTGGTGAGACCTCATCTCTACAATAAATCAAAAAATTAGCCGGGCATGGTTGCACATGCCTGTAGTTCCAGCTACTTGGAAGGCTGAGGCAGAAGGATCACCTGAGCCCACCTGAGTCGAGGCTGCGGTGGCCAAGAACATGCCACTGCACTCCAGCCTGGGTGACAGAGTGAGACTCCAACTCAAATATATGACTCAACTCAAAATATATTTTTATATATATATACAAACATATAATATGAGATATCATTTCACTGCAATTAGAATGGCAGCTATCAAAAAACAAAAGATAATAAGAATTGACAAGGATGTGGAGAAAGAGAAACTTTATATAGTGCTGGTGGGAATGTAAATTAGTATAGCCTTTATGTACTAAACAGTATGGAGGTACCTTTAAAAATTAAAAATAGAACTACCATATGATTCAAAAGAAATGAAATAAGTATGACAAAGACATATCTGCTGTACTCCTATGTTTTTTGCAGCAGTAGTCAATCAACCAAGATATGGACTTAATCTAAGTGTCCATCAACAGATGGATGGATACAGAAAATATGGTGTGTATATGTATTTTATGGTATATATATATATACCCATATATACACACAATAGTGTACTATTCAGCATCAAAAAGAATGAAATCCTGTTATTTGTGACATCAGGGATAAACCTGGAGAACATTTTGCTAAGCAAAATAAGCCAGGTACAGAAAGACAAATACGTAATAACTCTCATAAGTAAAATCTAAAAAGTTGTTCTCATAGATGTAGAGAGTAGAGTGGTGGGAGGGGGAAGGAGAAAGGATGATGGGGAACTGGTCAGCAGATTCAAAGCCACGGACAGATAGGAGGAGTAAGTTCTGGTGGGTTATTGCATAGTAGGAGAACTAGGGCTAACAATGTATTGTATATTCTAAAATAGAAGAGAGGTTTGTTTTTGTTTTTTTATTTATGCATAATAGATATACATAGTTTCAAGGTACATGTGATACTTTAATACATTCATATAATTTATACAAATCAAATCTGGGTACTTGGGATATCCATCACCTAAAATATTTGTCTTTATGCTAGAAAAAAGAGCAGCTTTCGAATGTTCTCATCACAAAGAAATGATAAATGTTTAAGATGATAGATATGCTAATTTTCCTGATTTGCTCATTACACAATTTATACATGTATCAAAATATCATGTTGTTCCTGATGGTCTAGTGGCTAGGATTCATCACTCTCAAAATATCATATTTTATCCCATAATATGTACAATTAGTATTATGTGTCAATCATACATTTAAAAAAATAATTTATAATAAGAAATACAGTGCTATAATAGATTTTTATCCAGGTGTTAATATTATTGTGTTAATAGTTCCTGGTATTAGTATATTAACTCTTCCTGAAGTTCAAATAGTATGACAAACAAAAGTACCCCCCAGATGTCTCTAATAATCAGGAAAAGCCTGAAAATAAGAGGTGACTTGAATTTTTACTAAAAGGTTATTAAAAATTGACAGTAAATAATTTCAGTTTTTCTGAAAACATAGCAGTATATATCATCATTGAAATAATTAGTATTTGCCTTCTCTGTGTGAATTAAATTTCAAAATACTTTTCATAAGGAGGATCCTTGAAATAATATATGTCAGCATTTTAAGAAAGAGTATGTTCATTTTCTATTATACTACTCGTGTAAAAGAAGGGACTCTCAGTTAAATGACACATAATAAATCTTAAAAATTTTGATATCTCTTTATCAGAATAATACAACTGTTAAGAAGGAAAGAAACTAAGAAAGTAGGCAAGGTTCTAGGTGTTCCCTGGGCACAAGGTAGAGGCAGAAGAATGCAGGGCTTTTGTATCTTTGATCCTCTGGATAATGTTGCAGTAGTAATAGTTGAAACACAAAGGAGTTTCATGTTAAGTGAATCTAAAAATTTTGTTAGCCTGTTAGCCATATGGCCATTCCCAGTAACTGAGATGTCGCCCAAGGGACCCAGAGGGTCTTCCAGTTTCCCAGGGTTCTTGAATATATCAACAACATTCAAATTCAGGAGAATTACAACTGCTTCATTTTGTGCTGACTACTGTAACTTTTTATGTATATTTCTGTAATAGGTTATGACATCACTTGTCTTAATGTCTAGCAAAGTGTGTGCATATTTTAGACATATAGGCATGGTGGTTCATGCCTATAATCCTAGCGCTTTGGGAGGCTGAGGCAAGAGGATTTTCTGAGTCCAGGGGTTCGAGACCAGCCTGGGCAACTTGGCAGGACCTCATCTCTACAATAAATCAAAAAATTAGACAGGCATAGTGGCATGCACCTATTTACAGCTACTTGGGAGGCTTAGGCGGAAGGATCACTTGAGTTCAGGAAGTCGAGGCTTTGGTGACCGTGAGCATGCCACTGTACTCCAGCCTGGATGATAGAGTAAGACTCCAACAAAATAAAATAGAATAGAATAATAAAAAAAAACTATTTTTGACTTGGCAAGTTTTTGAGATTTATGTATTTATATATCATATATATCATATGTTATATTATATGTTCATATACCCCAATGAGTTTTTTGCTAATGATTCTGAAAATGAATAATAGCTTAAATCTATTTTACCGTAATATCCAGACCTGAGAGTTGCAGCATACCTTTTCCTGTGAAACTGTTTGGTTTGTACTTAGTGAAGGAACGAGAGTGTAAGCAATTGACTTATTTTGGGGGCAGGATGTTGAAAAAGAACTGGAGATCCAGATCAGCATGCGACAGGAGATGGAGTTGGCCATGAAGATGCTGGAGAAGGATGTCTGTGAGAAGCAGGATGCGCTTGTGTCTCTTCGGCAGCAACTAGATGATCTCAGGGCTCTGAAGCATGAACTTGCGTTTAAGCTGCAGGTATGGACACATGAGAAATAGACTCACTGTCTCTCTGAAATCCTGAGGCTTCCTTCCATTCCTCTTTTTCTACAGAATCACACTTTTTTTTCTTTAAGAGTCAAAGTACATGAGCAAGTTTGTGACCTAGGTATATTGTGTGATGATGAGGTTTGTAGAATCACACTTTAATTACAAGAGGGAAGAGTTGCATCTATTTTGATGCTAGCTGCCAATAAACTACTTTAAGATTCAGAACATCATTGGGTCCTGAATTGTTCTGGAAAACCATGGCCACTTTTCGCATTATAATATGGCATGGCAGTCTTTATTTTATTTTTATACATTTTTTTTTAAGTTGGGATCTCACTCTGTTGCCCAGGCTCAAGTGTAGTGGCACAATCATGCCTCACTGCAGCCTCCACCTCCTGGGCTCTAGTGATCCTTCCACTTCAGCCTCTCAAATAGCTGAGACTGCAGGCAGGCACTGCCATGCCTGGTTAATTTTTTTTTGCTTTTTTTTTTTATAGAGACGAGATCTTGCTATGTTGCCTAGGCTGGTCTCAAACTCCTGGGCTCAAACAGTCCTCCTTCCTTTGCCTCCCCAAGTATTGGGATTACAGGCGTGAGCCACTGCGCCCCACTAGGTATTTTTAAACCCTATAAGGTAATTTCCACCCTCAAGCCTAACATGCTACCCCAGTTATATATTCTATTAGATTTTATACTGGAATCTGATAAATTGATGAGGTTTCTACTACTATTGTGATAATGCTGCATATGATGATATTAATTTTAAACACATTGAGGTTTTCTCCATTTGAGAATTAAACAAATATATGAACATTTTCATTTTTCCACTTACCATTAAGTTCAGAAAGGCATGTGTGTTTATATTTCATGATTTTATGTTATACATCTATCATTTATAATTATTATCTATAACAGAGTTCAGACTTAGGAGCTAAACAGAAAAGTGAACTAAACAGTCGCTTGGAAGAGAAGACTAATCAGATGGCTGCTACCATTAAGCAACTTGAACAAAGGTAAAAGTGCTATTTCTTTAATGAAACACTGGGCTATCAGTGCTGGAAATGAAGAGAATCTGCTATGCATTTGGCAAATAGAAAGTAGATTAAATTCTTCCAACTTAACAGCAGACATGCTGGCAGAAAAAAAGACAATTAACTGTTACTGTGTTTTTCTAAGATGTGACTGAAACATTTTTGAGACATGTCAATCACTTGACTAGCCTTTAAAAAAAACAGAAGGAAATGTCCGCCTTTCGTGACTATTTCGTGACTCTTACTTAATCCATTTCAATGTCAGGAAGGATACTACAAGGATGAAATGACTTGTAAATGCACGTTTGTAATCTTACTGTTAAGGATCTTACTGTTCATCACTAAAGTCTTTGAATACTTTGGTGCTAGGTGCTGTACGGGTACTGAGAGACAGATGTCCTCCGGGATATACTCTGGATCTTTCTCTCCCTTCTTTAACTTCAACCTTTTTCTCTTCTCCAGTCTTTTTTCTGTCTTTCTCCTGGATACTTCTGTAGTCTCCTCTGTTACCTCCAGTGCATTTCTCCAGCTGTGCCCTTCATCTGGAGACCAGTCTTGAGTTCCCATCCAACTGTCTTCTCCTTGTACCTACAGTTCAGTCTGCCCAAAGCTCATCTTCTCCCTATACTACTCTTTTCTTTCTTTGTACGAAACCACCAGTTTCTTCCTTGGTGGCTCGGCAGCCAAGAGAAATGACTGAGACTTCAAGATTGAATGTGACACAACACCCAAGGTCATTTGATGTTTCCAACCTTAGCATACCCACACATTACCCTTCTTGCAACTGAGCAAAACTAAACTACTGGTCCCTAGACATACTTCCCATCCATTCCTTTCTTAGTTGCTCCCCCAATTAGAAATGTCCTTCCTCTTCCCACTCCGTTGTTCTTCAGGTACATTGCTTATGTTTAGACTAAATACCACCTCCCCAAAGCATCTTCTAACACCTCTTCCCATCGGTAAATGAACTGTCCTTCTTGGAATTCCCCCAAGCCTTATCTTTCTATGCCTCTGACGGCCCTTCTCACTGTCTGTTTTGCCTCATAACCCTTTATATGTGTATCTGGTTGTCCAATGAGAGTGTAAGGTCCTTGAGGTTAGTTACCTAATCTATTAAGCTCTCTCAGTGGCTCTGTCACAGTGTTGAATGTACAAGGCACTCATTCAGTAGATACGTGAATAAATGGATGAATAGGTAACTTTTTTTATTCAGATGATTCTTAACAAGGGGAGGGTCCTGAACAGCAGTGCATATTATTATTAATGTTAACTCAAAAATTAACATAAGCTAGAAATCTCAGGTATGACTGATAAATAAAAAGGTATCTGTTTACCTAGGAAAGAAAGTTATATACTTGCTCATAAACAGGTATATGTTTATGATATAACAAACCAGTTTTAGTGTTCACAAATTGTGCTTTTGAAATGTATCAAATTATTTTTCAATGTTTTTTTGACTTGGAATTTAAAGCAGACAGAACTGAAACACTGGCTTATTTCTTCAAGTTTTAAGCTAACATATTCTCTTGCTATTTTTGTGTTTCCTGTTTATCCATTTTTTCATTCTCCTTTCACTTCATTTTCATTTTTATTTTATTTAGTGAAAAGGATTTGGTGAAACAGGCAAAGACCTTAAATAGTGCAGCAAATAAACTGATCCCAAAACATCATTAGGCATTTTGCAGTTGGTCACCTTGCAAGTCCGATATTACAACTTAATTGTAAAAGGAAGAAATCTGGAAGTTATTAAATTTAAGCTCTGATTCTATATAAAATGTCACCAAAAGTTGACTTTGAATTGGTTGGACTTTTAAAAAACCAGTATAGGTTTTTAAAATATAGGTTGGGGTTTTTTCTTATTATTATTTTCACTCTAGGAAAAAAAAATTTGGTATAAGTTCATAATTAAATGCCAAATAAACTTTGAGAAATTACTTCTGAGTTGACCAATAAATAAATACCATTTTTAAGAAGCCTAGGGAAATGAAGCTCTGTACATATATTAATGATGCCTTTACAACCTAATCCTTGATAATATCAGATTCTAGGTGCGTTGTTCATGTCTGTATCAGCAAACCTGTTTTGCCATTGCAGTGTAATGAACTAGAGGTAACTACCATGTGAACTTGGACTCTTCTAAAGTAGTTCTGTGTCTCTTAGGCCATGACCCCTTTTCACTTTTGTTATATAGGTTTAATCCCCAAGCCAAGGATAAGTACTTAATATTTCATTACTGTTCTACTTTCAGTAACCAAGATTGCTTGCAACTTTTTTTGCCTTAGTGACTTTAAAAAAAAAACCAAAAGCCTCCTTTATTTCTTTAAAGCACATAGAGATAAAATTAGTAATTAGGTAACTTATGATAACATAATAATGTGGAAGCTTGGGAAAACCCTCCTAATATTTGTCATCTTCTACCTCTGCCATTTTTCTGCAATTTCATTTCCTACTTAGGTGGCTTGGAGAGAACATTTAATAAAAACACACTCTCCTTTAAAGAAAAAAGTGTACTGCACTTTTTCCATATCTATCCTGCTTTTCCTATTGGAGTCCAGAGAACAGGGTAAAGACAGGAATGATAATGTTGTTCCTGTCATTTCTTACCTGGAAACATTTAAGGTTTCCTGTTACTTTTTGTTCAGATGGGGAGTTGCTAAAAGTTCCGGGAAAATAATAATTGAATTAATTAGAGCTAGAAAAACATTTTAGAGTAGGAAATAGATACGCGATAAACTTATATTCTTTATTATTATTTAGTACAAAAGTAGAGATTCCCAGTAGATATCCACAAGCAATATTAGCAGGGCTTCTTTTTCTGAGTGATTACAGATTTAACCCTTTCTAGGCTTTACATTGTAAATAACCCTATAAATACTTTGATTTTTTTTAATGTCTTGATTTGGGGAGGTAGGCTTCACATAAGCCTTCATTCCTTCAAAAGGTCTTGACAAAATATTTGTTTTTTCTCATTCTGATATGCTTTGCAGCATTTCAGCTGCTTAGGTGGGGACAAAGATAACCCTTTTGCTTCCAGCTCTTGAAATTCTTTATCTTCTCGGCAAAACCAGAGATTTCATGTGTGCTTTAGATGTCCCTGCACAGATCTGAACCAAAATCAAGTCAAAGAACATATATTTAGAGCAACTTTATGAAAGACCCTGGGCTCTTGAACTTATTTTAGTTCTTATGATTTTGCACCTATATAAATCAAGTTCTTTCTATATATATATATTTCATCAATCTTGTGATGAGCCACCTTTTCTATGAGCATTTGGAAGACATGATCAAACATAACTCTCTAAAGACTATGCATAGCATGCTTCTAAATTCTATTATGTAAAGGCCCAAATGTTTCACCTTCTAAAACTCGCTTCGTTATAGGTGCAAGGTTATAAGATGTTGAGAAGAAAACCTCAATCAGAATCTTCCAGCAGATGTGGTGAAGAGTCTTACATAGGCCCAGTCCTGAGTTCTTTGTCCACTTAGTCACCTACCACTTGGTGGGAATGGAGGAAGAGGGAAAGGAAAAAGACAGCTAAACTCTGACAAAAGCTTCTCCCAATAGAATAACCCAAAACCTGGGGAAGGGTTGATGTATACTATCCCATGATTTAATATATATGGTTAGGAAAAAGGACAAGAAGAAATGTTATAATACCACATATGAAAAGGTAGTTGCCCATTTACAAGTTCCAGTTATGTGTGTAAAACCGAAGAATAAAGGTCCAAATCTTAAGAAATAAAAACAAAAAAGTAGATTTAATTTAAATGACTGTGTACTTGAGGTTGGCTTTGGATATGGATTTTCTAAAAAGTGATGTTTATTGTTTATCATCTAATGGCTGTAAACCGTAGTACTAGAATAAAAAAAAATGGAAAATCAGCTTTTCCTCTGCCTGGTTCACCTTCCTCTTGTGTTTCTTTAGAATCTGTTTCTTCTCCGTCCTTTTCCCCCATAATTTCTTTCCGTGTGTCTTGCAATGTTTTTTTTTTCCTCTCTCTGTCTCTCTGTGCCTATTTCCTTGGGTTATTTTATTTTGTGTTGTGAACTTGGTCTTCCTCCCCACCACGGCTTTTGTTTTTTATCACAAGTCCATATGGCTCACATCCAGATTGCGCCAGGTTGAGCGAGACCGCCAGTCTGCTGAGTTGGACAACCGGCTCTTCAAACAGGACTTCGGAGACAAGATCAACAGTCTGCAGCTGGAAGTGGAAGAGCTCACCAGGCAGCGGTGAAGAGAGGGCAGCTTGAGCTGACAGGGTGGTCATGGGTAATTCTAAGCCTACACAGCAAGAGACAGGGTCTTATGACTTCCAGCTAGCTAGGCTCTGTCTTTGCAATGTCCTTTCTCTGGAATTGGAATTTAGAAAACTTCACCTATGTCAGCATTCCCCAAATCCTGCCAACATGCTTGGTGATGAAAGAATTAGGAAATTAGAGGCCAAGGTCCCAGATCAATAGTAATTAATAGCCAATATAACACTAATAATAGTTATTACTTCCTGAATTCTTACTTTGTGCCAGATTCCTTAAAAAGCATTTTACATGCAATCTCTCCTGATATCATATAGCCCTATTAGTAGGCAATATTATTGTCACCACTTTCAGATGAAATTAAAGCTTAGGTAGTTAAATGTGTCTAAATTCACACAGGTAAGCTAATAAGGCACCACCATCATTTAAAAGCCTGTCTGTCTGATGTCAAGCCCTTAACCATTCTTCCATATTCTTGCTCAAATGAGACTCACTTCTGCGCTGAAACCACTGACTTCAAATAGTCAGACCTTTGTTGGATGTAAATCACATAGCTACTTGCAACCAGAGAAAGCTGATTTAAGAATAAATAAAAATAGCCGGGCGCAGCGGCTCAAGCCTGTAATCCCAGCACTTTGGGAGGCTGAGGTAAAAGGATTGCCTGAATCCAGGGGTTCGAGACCAGCATAGGCAACTTGGCGAGACCTCATCTCTACAATAAATCAAAAATTAGCTGGGCGTGGTAGCACGCGCCTGTAATTCCGGCTACTCAGAAGGCTGAGGCAGAAGGATTGCCGGAGCCCAGCAGGTCAAGGCTGCGGTGGCCGGGAGCAGCCACTGCACTCCAGTCTGGGCGACAGAGACTCCAACTCAAATAAATAAATAAATAAATAAATGAATAAAAATAAATCACATAGTTACAAAGGACACTAGTGTTTGAGGGTATCACTGGAGATTGAATACGTAACTATAAGGAGAGATCAGCTAACTAATATGAAATGGAACTATCATGTCCACACTTTCACGCTCTATCTTACTGAAAATGTGTAAATACTGTTTTTCAGTTATAGCAAATCCTACTTATTGCTGCACAGTGACCACAGCTCTTCACTGATAGTTAATATGAAGTGCTGACATTCAGAGTAGTGACCTTTAGGCACTGGGGGATCCCAAAGTGCATTCTTCATTATCCAAAGAAGATTAAGCACATTTCATGTACGTTAATGTCACAGGTCTTTTTGTATTTTAGAACTTTAAAGCTTGGTTGTCCATATGTATTTGGTAACTTTTTATTATATACTAAAATTTAATTAATGAACTTTAAGAAAAGGATTTGTCAGCCGGGCTCGGTAGCTCAGCCTGTAATCCCGTGCCTTTGGGAGGCTGAAGTGAGTGGATTGCCTGAGATCCACCTGGGCAGTGAGAGCTCATCTCTACAATAAATCAAAAAATCAGCCGGGCGTGGTAGCGCATGCCTGTAATTCCGGCTACTCGGAAGACTGAGGTGGAAGGATCACCAGAGCCCAGCAGGTCGAGGCTGCAGTGACCGGGAGCGGCCACTGCACTCCAGTCTGGGCGACAGAGTGAGACTCCAACTCAAAAAAAAAAGAAAAGGATGTGTCTCTCATTAAAAAATACGTGTTTAGAAATCCAAAATTTTCATCCTTTTCCTCTCCCACCTATTTCAGGAACCAGCTTGAGTTAGAACTAAAACAGGAAAAAGAAAGAAGATTGCCAAACAACAGGAGCATCCCAGGAAAGGCTTCCCAGAAGCCAGAACCCAAGATGGTAATACTTGTTCCTCTCTTGTTCATTTACTTAATTTTAGTTTCAGACACACCTTGATAGACTTGTCAGTTTTCTTTCATGGATCACATACTTAATTGCTGTTGCCTCCAATATGTAGATGGCAAACGATTGATGGAGTGAATAGATGAAAGTCTGATTCTGATACTACCTCTAGAATACTCTCTCTAACGATCTCTTTGGAAATGGAGTTTTTAATCATTCCCAATGACTCTCTTTTTCCTCTTGATGTTTTAAAAATAAAGTTATTGTGATATTTTAACAAAAATATGTGTTTCTTGGACTTCTGCTGCTGACTAATATTTTTAATAATATAGTATAATAATTCCTCCCCAATTCTGTATTCCTCTTTAACTGATTTTCATAGATGTAGATTTGCTTCTGTATCCCTTATTCAAAATCATGAGGATTTCAATTTAAGCATACTCAAGAAACTTATCATGGGAATAATTAGAGAACTGGACTTGGGGAAGGGAGTACTTTAAAGAGCAAGAGTAGAAATTTCTACTTGGAACAATCTTGGAAGAAGAGACCGTTAGCACCTGTAGTGTGAGGGAGCTAAAATTAGGTAAAGTCTTCTCTGGAATCCAGGAAATAATGAAATCAGAAAAGCATGAAATACTTTTTCTATCAAAGACAAACACAGGAAAAAAAACTGCCTCCTTTGTGTATATCTTATACAAAAGAACTTCAAAAAGTTCATGGAAAAATTTAATTAAAAAATAAAAATATAAACTTTATTTCTCAACATAAGCTCTATCAACTTCACTTTTGTAAGTGAAGATACCAGCCATTTAATCCATCCCTAAAGAACTGAGGGTCCTGGGAATTTGACCATGTCAGTGCAGTCTTTTTTACATTATTAACTGAAGAAAAATTGATGCCCTTTAAAGATGTTTTAAGGCCGGGCATGGTAGCTCACGCCTATAATCCCAACTTTTGGGAGGCTGAGGTGAGAGGATTGCCTGAGCTCACAGGTTCGAGACCAGTGTGGACAACTTAGCAAGACTTCATCTCTGCAATAAATTTTTTAAAAGTAGCTGGGCATGGTGGTACTTGCCTGTAGTATCAGCTACTTGGAAGACTGAGGCGGAAGTATCGCCTGAGCCCAGCAGGTTGAGGCTGTGGTGGCCATGAGCATGCTACTGCACTCCAGCCTGGGCAACAGAGTGAGACTCCAACTCAAAAAAATAAAAATAAAGATTTTTTTGTTTGTTTGTTTGGGTTTTTTTTAGTTGGAGTCTCACTCTTGTCGCTCAAGCTGGAGTGTAGCAGCACACTCATGGCCTCCACAGCCTCCACCTGCTGGATTTAGGCAATCCTTCCGCCTCAGCCTTCCAAGTAGCTGGAACTACAGATGCATGCTGCCACATCCAGCTAGTTTTTGTAATTTATTATAGAGACAAGATCTCACCAAGTTGCTCAGGCTGGTCTTGAACCCACAGGCTCAGGCAATCCTCTTGCCTCAGCCTCCTAGAATTCTGGGATTACAGGCTGAGCCAGTGCGCTCAGCCAAAAAAGATGTTTTAAGATGAGGAAACAAAGAAGCCAAAAGGAGCCAAATTAGGATGGGAAGGTAGAAGCTTAATGATTTCCTATCAAAACCCTAGAACAATTGCCTTGATTGATGAAAGGAGTGAGCAGAGCATTGTGGTGAAGAAGAACTCGGGTGAAGCTTTCCCAAGCATTTTTGTGCTACAGCTATGTCTGACTTTCTCAAAACACTCTTAAAATAAGCAGATGTTTTCATTCTTTGGCTTCCAGAAAGTCAACAAGCAAAATGCCTTGAGCGTCCCCAAAAACTGTTGTCATGACCTTGGCTCTTGACCAGTCTGCTTTTGCTTTGTCTGGACAATATTCCCCTTCTTGGTAGCCATTGCTTTGATTGTGCTTTGTCTTCAGGATGGTACTGGTAAAGCCATGTTTCTTCTCCTGTTAAAATTCTTCAAAGTAATGCTTAATGATCTTGACCCCACTTGTTTAAAATTTCCATTAAAAGCTCTGCTCTTGTCTGCAGCTGGCCTGGGCACAATTGTTATGGCACCTATCAAGTGAAAATGTTGCTCAACTTTAACTTTTCAGTCAAAATTGTATAAACTGAACCTACTGAGATGTCTATGGTTTGGCGATTTTTTTCTGCTGAGAAGTGTTGGTCTTCTTCAATTAGAGCATGAAACATGATTAATTTTTTGCCTTGCAAGTTTATGCAGATAGTATACCACTGCAGGCTTCATCTTAAACATCATCTCATCTGTTTTTAAGTTATTCATTTGTAAACTACTGATTTCTTTGGGGAATTGTCCCCATAAATGTATTATAAAGCATCAATGATTTCACCATTCTTCTAAACAAGCTCACCATAAATTTTATATTTGTTCTTGCTTCAGTTTTAGCAGAATTCATGTTTCTGTGAGAGACACTCTTTGCAAAGTAATGTCTTCTTTTTAGTACCTCAAACTAGATCCTGTTTGGACATGTTATAACAAGTTGGAACAAGTTTATTTTGGTGCAAAAAGTTGGGGGTTTTTTAAAGTTTTTTGCTTTATACTCTAACTAAGGCATTGCAGAAGAAAATGTCTACAACATCATCATTTAGCATTTGGAATAGATAATAAATCAGGCTGTTTTCTTTTGGCATTTTTTTTTCATAATATGCATTTTCCATGAACTTTTCGAAGACACTTCATATTTAATGATGCAAGACAGGTTTATAATCTTCTTATTTAACATTTCTAGGCTGGGTATGGTGGCTCACACCTGTAACCCAACCATTTTGGGAGGAGGAGGCGAGAGGATTGCTTGAGCTCAGGGGTTCGAGACCA